TCCCCTTTTATTCTGTTAGTATGGCGAATTACATCAGCTGACTTTATAAGAATCTTTATGTTCAAAAGGGATATTGGTCTGTAATTTTTTTTCTGAAGTCTTGTCAGGTTTTAGTGTCAGGGTTATGCTGATCTCAGAATGAGTTGGGAAATTTTCTCCTCCATTTCCAAAAGTGTTTGGGCATGATCCTGGTGTCATTTCTTCCTTTTAATTTAATAGATTCTCCAGTGAAACCATCTGGGCCAGAAGTTTTTGTTTTTTTGTGAGATTAAAAAAAGTTTTAATTTATGTGGAATGATTTTTCATAACAATTTCAATGTCTTTAATATATATAGAGCTATTCAGATTTTCTATTTCTTATTTTGTCAGTTTAGATAATTTGTGTCTTTCAAGAAATGTGTAACATTATGTGTTCTGTTAATATCTTTTATTTTAATACTCAGATTATTCCATATTGTGCTGAGAGCCCCTTTAGGCTGACATCTGTACCTCTCTGACATATCTCTATCATTCCTTGAGTATTTCCAGGTTCACCTTGTATTTCCCCTGTCTAATCCTGGAATCAGTCATTTCTCCAGGAAGCTATGGTTCCTTTTAGTGCAGAATGGCATTTAGGAGCCAAGATTTAAACATTAACTTTTATTTTACATTTATATTTATATTTTTTGAAAACCATGACTTCCCATTAATCTCTCCAATTCCAATCTAGTACTACAGAGTTTGTTCTAGATTTCTCCCTTTTCATATTTGGAATTCTCTTTTCTACCAGTAGGAAACCTGGTTTCACATTTTTTCCTTTCAACACAAGCTTTCCTTGTTTATTATGGTGAAAAGTCTGTCACTTGTTGTTCTCATGTATATAGCATCCCTTTTTTTCTTTGACTGTTTTCAAGATTTTGTCTTTGTGGTTTTCAGCAATTTTGACTCTGTTGGACCTAAGATCAGCAAGACAATGGTTTTCACCAAATTATAGAAATATTTGGTCACTATTTTTATAACTGTTTTTTGTGCTCCATTCTTGCCTTTCTTCTGGGTGTCCAAGTAAACATGTGTTAGATAACTAAAAAATGTCCCACAGGTAACTGAGATTCTGTTTATTGCTTTTTCTTTTTCTCTCTCTGTTCTTCAGTTTAAATAATTTCAATTTTTAATTCAGATCATGTACTTTTCAATTCTAGAATTTCTTTTTGGTTCATTTTAGGTTTTCATTTTTTTAGTGAAATTTTTCCATCTCAGAATTTCGATTGTGACCATATTTTCCATTTAAGTTGTTGAACATATTTATTATAGCTTCTGAAGAGCCTTTTTCTGCTGATTTCCTACAACTAGATTATTTCAGGGTCATTTTTCTTTTTTAATGCCTACAGCACCAGTATTCCTAGGTGGTCTCCCATCCAAGTACTAACCAGGCCCGACCCTGCTTAGCTTCTGAGATCAGACAAGGTCGAGCACGTTCAGAGTCGCATGGCTGTAGACTCAGGGTCATTTTCCATTTGTTTCTTTTTCTCTTGACTATGAGTCTTATTTATTTGCTGCTTCTCATGTCTAGAAGTTTTTTATTATATAGTGGACATTGTAAATGATACCTATCAGAGACTGTGGATTTTTTTTTTTAATCTCCTGTTTCTGGCTGATAATTGTGACTTCGTAGAGTCTGGATTTGCCTTCATTATAATGGGTGGTGTGTTTTGATTTTGTCCTTAGTCCTAAAGCAGATCTCTTAGATCTAAGACTTATTCTTTAGTCTCAATGTAGGGTCTTTCTAGGTTTTTAGCTTATTAAGCCCCTCACACTTAGTATGAATCAAATTCTAAACTCTGTCTCCCCTCATAGGCAGCAGCTAGAATCTGTGCTCAGATCTTTCTGTCGTGAAGCTATTACTTTCCATTAAAATTCTTGGAGTCCCCCATTTATGTATATAGTTTAGGGGTTAGCCATGGATTTGAGGGGAATTTATATGCATGTTTTGATACTTCTTCCCTTTTCCATGGCTCTTTCTATTTTCTATGATTTCTCTTTTCAATTTCCAGCCACTATGGCAGCCCTGAACTCCATCCTATGACATCTCGAGCCAATAGACTGTGGCTTTCTAATTGAATTTTAGTCACCCTGTACAAAAGTGTACTGATGAGTACCCTTAGGGAAAAAAGTGCATAAATATGGATCTCAGCCAGAGTGGTTGTCCTCTGTCAAGGTCAGTCTACTCTTCCCCCTAGTTTCTGCCTATTTTAGGTCAGTCTCTTGCCTTTAAGTAGTTATTTTAAAAGACTTTTTCTATGGTTTGTAATTGTTATCTCAAGAGGGTTAATCCAATACAAATGTCTCTGCCATTATTGGAACCAGAACTCTTTGGCTTAAAGTTTTATTTTATGCATTGTATACCAATTACTTCATAAATGTATGTTTATGAAGTAAGTTTCATTTAAAAGATTATGTTGTCTGTACATGAATAGTAAATGTCTGTGGTATTAGTAATTGCAAAAGAAGCCCAGTATATAAATGTACCAATAGTCCCTATATGCTAATGTCAAATAATCCAATTTATTCTTTTAAAATATGTTTTGAAAACATTTCAACCTAAATGATATAAGAATAAAACAGTTAAGTGGATATATTTTAAAAGTTTAACTTGTTTGAATGGAAAGCCAATTTTATAAATTTTTTTTGTTTTCTTAAATTTCATTTTGTCTACTTCTAAAGAATGATAATCGAGCAAAATGAATTATTTAAAATATCTTTGCATCTGTTACTGATAAAACTAAATGAATAAATAAATGGGAGGAGAAATAATAGCTCTTCCTTACAGAAAAATTCAAGTTAATAAATGTATAAGAAAAAGAATAACTTTTAAAATTATTACTAGAATACTACAGTAAAAATTGTCATAGGCAAGATCTAGCAATGGATGCTAAAATTAACAGGCAGAGTTGAAGCAGAAACAGAATATTTGCATAGTCTCAAAGTATTTTCTCCAATATTTAGTTATTCCTAAAGGAAAAAAATACTAAGCTTACAGTTAAGAATCTTGGCAGACATGGCTTTAGGCAAGTGATTAAGGTTAACGTCACCAGAAATATTCATCAGCATACCTCCTGACTTGATGCATTGAGAAGGGTACATCACCTCTGTGGTATCCTTCCTAATAATGTATAACCTCATTCTGATCATGAGAAAACATGAGACAGACTCAGATTCAGGGACATTCTGTAAATTAGTCAATCAGTACTCTTCAGAAGTATCAGTCATGAAAGATAAGAAAAAACTGAGGAATTTTAACAGATTAGAAGGACCAAGAAGATATGACAACAGAATGCAATGTGGGTTCTTGGATTAAATCCTGAAAGAAAAAAGGACGTTAGTGAGAAAAGTGGTGAAACTCAAGTTCTTTACTTTATATTGTACCACATTTTTCCCTTAGTTTTGATAAATGTTCTGTAGTTATGTAAGACATTCACATAAGGGGAAGCTGGGAGAAAGGTATACAGGAACTGATACCAATTTTTGCAACTGTTCTGTAAATCTAGAATTTTTAAAAATGGATTCTTTTCTATTGTTTTATGAAATCACCTGTGTCTTCAGATTATTCTCTTTCATTTCGACACACAGATTTATACCAGTACTTCTCAAAAAGTGTTCTTAGACTATCAACATTAACTGAAGACTTATTAAAAAAGCAAATTCTCAGAAGCTCTGTGGATGGGGCCTACGAATCTGTGTTTTAACAAGCTCTCCAGTTCATTCTGACACATACTAAAGTTTGAGAACCATGATTTGTACCATCAGTAAAAACTTAAGACTAAAAGGAAACAGTTTTATTAACATGTTGCCCGTTATTAATAATGTTTGCTTACTATAAAATATAACCAGTGTTTTTTTTAAATTGTGGTAAATATATAACATTTTCCATCTTAGTAAGCTTTTAGTGTACAGTTCAGTGGTATTAAAATACAGTCACATTGTTGTGTAACTATCATTACCATCCATTCCCATAACTCTTTTCATCTTGTAAATCTGAAACTCTATACCTGTTAAACAATAACTCTGCACTCCCTCCCTTTTCCGAGTCCCTGGCAGCCACCATTCTATTCCTGTCTCTGTGATTTTGACTACTCTAAATATCTCATTTAAGTGAAATCATACAGTATTTTTTGTGACTGGCTTATTTTACTTAGTATAACGTCCTTAAGGTTTACCTATTTTGTAGTATGTGTCAGAATCTCCTTCCTTTTTAAGGGCAAATACTATTCCATTGTATGTATATACCTAATTTTGCTTATCCCTTCATCCATCAATGGACACTTGGATTGCTTCTACATTTTAGCTGTTGTGGATAATGCTGCTATGAACACAGTGTACAGATATATCTTAAAGACTTTGTTTTCAATTATTTGAGGTATATACCCAGAAGTGCAGTTATTAGATCATATAGTAATGGTTTTTAATTTTTTAAGGAACCACCACCATACTGTTTTACACAGCATCTATACCATTTTACATTTCCACTAACAGTGCACAGGGTTCTGATTTCTCCACGTCCTTCCCAACACTTGTTTTCTGTTTTGTTTTTGTTGTTGGTGGTGATGTGCTAGTAATCATCCTCATGGATATCAAGTGGTATCTTATTGCAGTTTTGATTTGTGTTGCCCTAATGATTAGTGATGTTGACCATCTTTTCATGTGCTTGTTGGCCATTTGTGTATCTTCTTGGGAGGAATGTCTATTCAAGTACTTTGCCCATTTTTTAATAAGTAATACCCATACCTTCCATACGTACAGTGAACCACTGCTGCTTATATACTTGTTCATGGGAACATTAGTAGCTTTGTGGGCTCTCACTTTCTTTGCTTTCCCCTGTCTACCTTGTCCTTCAGCTCCCGTAAATCTGTAATTTACACATAGGATCTATTTGTGTATTGATTTTGAGAAATAGGGCAGAATTTGAAAACCTATTTGATAGTGTTTCAGTATTTAAACCTGTATCCAAAAAATTTTCTTTACAGACTTACAACAGCTGTGCCAGACTCTGCTTAAACCAAGAAACAGTATGTCTAGCAAGCACTGCTATGAAGACTGAAAATTGTGTGGCCAAAGTAAGTAATATATACTTATTCATCAATATATGTTATACAACATCATAACACTACCTTATCCATAGACATCTTTACTCAATATTGCTGTTAAAGACTATTACAGGATTTCATATTTAAAAAATACAGCACGCATCATTTTATCCAAATTAGATTTCAAGTTGGAGTCTCCATCTCTTCAGTTGCAGCAGAATTTTTTGATTATGTATTCTGGTCACACTTTAGTTTAAATCACATTTGTTGCTTGACACTAATTATGGATTATCACAAATAAGTAATATTTAAGAAAATATACAATATTTTTTTAAGTTTGTTCATAGCTTTTAAATGTAATTAAGTATAGAGTATACCATTGCAAGGAATGTGAAATATATTATAGAAAATACAGTTATTATATCACTATTATTATTTATTGAGGGGCTAATGATAGAGATATTCCTTTCAGTGATCTTGATATGAGTGGACAATATATTTAAATTAACTACCTCTTTCTCATGTGTAAATGTGTACCCTGTCTATAGCCTAGATACAAAAATAATCTTATGTATCAGAAACCTTACAATCTAATAATTGTATCAACTGTTAGTCAGATTTTCTAAGTACTCTAATTACTCAGGAACTTTGACCTAAATATATATCATCCGTTTTGATTATTTCAGGAATAAGTAAAATTCAAGTATAGGCTCTAGTTTTAGATTTTTCCTTTGTATATCTGCAAAATTACTGCCTTTATAATCATTCAAGGATATGTCACTGTTAAAACATTCCCAACTTTAACTATTTTACTTTAATCTACTATATTATACACTCAGGCTCTTAGTTACTTACTGTTATTATTAGAGGTAGGCCTGGTATTATGTAGTCTCTATTCTTTGCTATAAAAATCAAAGGACAGCAATATTTCTTATTTTTTATTTTGTTTCTTAAAGCATGCAATGTTCTCTATATCTACTTTATCAATTGAAAATATATCATAGAAAATATAATCATTGAAATGATCTATATATGTTAGAATTTATTTAAAAATACAGTTAAAAAGATAGAGTTGATCATTTAATTGTTTCTTAGATTAGAATGTCAATAATTTGTTGAAAAATATGAATATTATAAATTACATATATTTTTTTCAGTCATTTAGTTACAACTAGCAAGTGCTGATTGACCCTATTTTATATCAAGCATTTGTACATTGAGATGGGGGACTTTATTTGGGCCTTTAAAAATAATTTGTCTCCTTTTTGGCCACACTGTGCTCAGCTTCATCACATGTGGGTGACTTCTGGCTAAACAAGGTAAAATTTTAACATGAGCACCGATCCAAGGACAGGGTGACAATTTTAATGAGTTTCATTGAGAGCTGGCCAAGTGAGCATCTGTTCCTTTTGTTTTCTCCATACTATGTAAGCCAGAATCTCTAAGCTACATAGTTATGTTAGTGTGGGTCTGTATGATGTGTTTTTTTCCTCTCCCAACCTCTACTTCAGTGGTGCAGTATTAGAAATCTTCTGGCTTCTGGCATAATAGCATAATTTCTTCTATGCTCTTGGGTGAGGAAATAAGTTTGCTCATTGCTGCTCATCAGTCTGGTTCCTTTGCTCCCAGATGGTGACCCTCTCATCCCATTCTTGCTTATTTTAACATTATTCTGACATCTATATCCTTTCATTGTCTCCTTAAATACCCTAATTTAATAATGATTTTCTATTAGAACCCACCTAACTTTCTGGTTTCTTTTATTGGCCCACATCCTGTCTTCTGGTTCATTACTTCAGAGTTAAGCCGAATAAGCAGTTGAGCAATGGCAAATAAAAACATGTAGCTGAAAAATATTTTTTTGCAACAG